AACGTTACTGCAAGTTACTGCTTTAAACTCCACGATAAGCACAAATGACATAATTTATCTGTTAGTTTATTTTTCCGTCCATAGTGTCTAGTATACAATGTAGCGGTGCTATAACTTTTATATATATAGCGATACTATAATCTTTGCTTATTACGTTGGCTATTAATAGCACAGGATCAGATGGCTGGGACACGTTTTTCGGCTTGAAGATTTGGACCTAGTTAAAAAACTTACTTTTTCAAAAATTGAAACAACTAGAAGAAGAGGGAGACCAGCTACAAGATGGTTGGACAATATTGAGAAGGACTAATAATTGTTGGGAATAAACAGGTAGAAAAATCTGGCTCAAAGCCTGAAGGCAGCTAATTGAGAAAGCCTTGGCCTGCACTAGGCTGTAGGACTGATAAAGAAGATAGGAGATTAATAGCTACTCGAATTTCGTAAAATTAGTTAAAAATTTTAAGAATATATGGACCGCTGGGGATCTAACACCATCTCTTCAGATAGTCATTTTGGAGCCTTAATCTCTGAGTCATCACGGATAACAAAAAAAAAAAAAAAAAAAAAAAAAAAAAAAAAAAAAAAAAAAAAAAAAAAAANAAAAAAAAAAAAAAAAAAAAAAAAAAAACGTTATTTAACTTCACGAATATTTTTTATTATTTTTAATATTTTAAAATTATAAGAAGCATATAGAAATAACAGTTTTTCCCAATTAATATAAATAATTCGAGTCAATGCAATCTTATGATATTTATTTATTTATTTATTTTTTTTTTGAAGAAACACAAGAAAAGAAATTTTGCGTTTAAGAAATTGGCATAGGTACTAGATCTACCAGAATGATAACACAGAACTATCGGAATACATCAACAGGGTTTTTATTTATTGTATTCATGGAAAAAATTAAGATATCAGGAGAAGCGCTAATAAATTTCGGCAAAACAGCTATTATCAATGAGCGCGTATAGAAATTTAAAAAAAAAAATTGTTTTCGAGATGCTGAAAAATAAATTGAAAAGGCATAAAATTCGATTTTTTCTTTTCTTTTAAGCTTGACTGTATATTTTCCCATTACATTTTCATTAAATCACACGGCTTCAATATCAACATATTTTTGTTTGGATTTTATCAGTTTTTTTTCAAAGCAATTTTTGAAATTTTTTTTTTAAATCATGCGTTTTAATATATTGGGTAGATTTTGCCTTACGCTACTCATATTTAACTCTTTTCTTAAACGTAACAATCACGTTTCTTTCTTCTTAAGCGTGAAACCTACTTAACATTTTTATTATCATTAAAAAATATATAGCGATATTTATTTATACGAATATTTCATAAACATTTACAAGAACTAGTAAACAGGAAAAAAATATGTTTTTCCTTTAAAGAATTTCTAAAATAAATCTTTTTGCAAAATAGCATCACGAGGTAGGAAACTTTTCAGATTCGAAACTTCGACAAGTGCTACATCTCCACAATAACAGCTCTCAACAACCCGAGCAACCGGAAAACACTAATCATGAGTTTAGGGAATTTTCAATAGAGACATCGAGAAAAAAGCTAATAAGCTGGTCTAAATAGTTTTATTTAACATCTGGCGTATATAGATTTTGTTTTCGAGATACTCATCAAGATATCGAGACAAGAGTTAATAAACTCGTCAAAAAAGTTTTATTTAACTTTGGGAACATAAAGATTTTGTTTTCGAGATACTTATATTTTTTTTTTCAAAAACAGTTCTATTTTCAAAAGTTTGACTCTTATTTATTCATAAAGCTATTTTCTTAACTTCAAAATAAGAATACTCTAGCCCAAATTTTAATTAATTTAGTCTTTTAAAAAAATGATTTTTTAAAACGAAATTCTAATTTTAAATAATGATTTGCAGTATGGTTTTTGGACTTAACGTCTAAGACTACTAATTAAACAATTACCAAATTCAAAAACAGTTCTATTTTTAAGAGTTGACTGTTATTTATTCTATAAAGCTATTTTCTAAACTTCAAAATAAGCATATTCTTGCCTAAATTTTAATTAATTTAGTCCTTTTAAAAAGTATTTTTTAAAACGAAATTCTAATTGTAAATAATGATTTTCAGTATAGTTTTTGGACTTCGCATCCAAGACTATTATTTAAACAATTACCAAATTCAAAACCATTTCTATTTTTAAAAGTTTGACTGTTACTTAATTCTATCAAGCTATTTTCTAAACTTCAAAATAAGCATACTCTTACCTATTTTTTAGTTAATTTAGTAGTTTGAAAAATTAATTTTTAAATCATAATTCTAATTTCAAATAATGATTCGCAGTATGGGTTTTGAACTTACGTCTAAGACTACTAATTAAACAATTACCGAATTCAAATCAAAAGTTTGACTGTTATTTATTCTGTAAAGCTATTTTCTAAACTCCAAAATAAGCATACTCTTGCCTAAATTTTAATTAATTTAATATTTTTAAAAATTATTTTTTTAAACAAAATTTTAATTTTAAATAATGATTGGCAGTATGGTTTTTGGACTTAGCATCTAAGACTACTAATTAAACAATTACCAAATTCAAAAACAGTTCTATTTTTAAAAGTTTGACTGCTATTTATTCTATAAAGATATTTTCTAAACTTCAAAATAAGCATATTCTTGCCTAAATTTTAATTAATTTAGTCGTTTTAATAATTATTTTGTGAAACGAAATTCTAATTTTAAATAATGATTTGCAGTATTGTTTTTAGACTTAGCATCCAAGACTACTAATTAAACAATTACCAAATTCAAAAACAGTTCTATTTTTAAAAGTTGGCTGTTACTTAATTCTATCAAGCTATTTTCTAAACTTCAAAATAAGCATATTCTTGCCTAAATTTTAATTAATTTAGCATTTTTTAAAATTATTTTTCAAAACGAAATTCTAATTTTAAATAATGATTGGCAGTATGGTTTTTGGACTTAGCATCTAAGACTACTAATTAAACAAATATTTAACATTTTTTCTCAAACGTAGCAAGAATGTATTTTTATTTTATTCCATATATACTGTTATTTATTTTATAAGGCCATTTTATAAAGCTGTTTTATAAAGCTATTTTCTTAACCTCAAAATAAGCCTATTCTTGCCTAAATTTTAATTAATTTAGTATTTTTAAAATTTTTTTTTTAAAACGAAATTCTAATTTTAAATAATGATTGGCAGTATGGTTTTTGGACTTAGCATCCAAGACTACTAATTAAACAATTACTTAAAATTTTTTCTTAAATGTAACAAGGCCGTATTTTCATTTTACGCAGAAAAACTATTTAGCAGTCTTTCTTAAACATTTGAAAAATAAAAAAGCTTTCTAACGTGTGTTTCATAATTATTTTTAAAGTCTTGAAAATATAAGAAGTAGAATAAAAGAAAAAAAAAGAATTCTTTTGCCTCACGTAGGTAAAGAATTCCATCGAAAGCATTTTTAAGATAAAACTTTTTGCCACATAGCATCACGAGGAAGGAAACTTTCCGGAAAAGAAATTGGGATACGTGCCATATCTACCGGAATGGTATAAAAATCAAACAAATAAGTTAAGAGAAAAAAACTGGAATTTTTGAAAGATACCAGTTACTCAACATAAAACTGTTGAATCATTTAACAGAAGGAAAATATACAGGGGGATATCTAAACAATATTTCGTATTATTTTCCCGATTTCATTTTTCTTCGACATTCTTTTTCAATCAAAATATGAAAAAAGGGAAAAATATGAAAAAAAGGGAAAAAAAATTTGCAAAAGAAGAGAGAAATACGGAAGAATGTTTGGATTTTTCAGACAAAAGAGGTACTTTTCACATTCTTGGAATCTTTTGTTTCGTCTGTTTCTATACTTTTATTCTGAGAAATGTTTTTTTCTCAATTTTCTAAGCAATTTCTGCCACTCAATAAAATAGTTTCTCCCTAAGAATTTATTTGTTTATTTATTTATATTTTCTTTTATTCATTTCTGGATTTGGATTATATATTTTTTTCATTAAATATGAAGAATGCTTAAATTATATAGGTTAAAATTCTTTTTTGACTGTAACATACTATCTAAATATCAATATGTAAAAACACTTACTTTAATATTTTAGAATATTTTATTTACTTAGGAGAAAGAAGGCGCAAGAAACGGATTAGTTAATAGGAAATAAGAGTGATTTATAGAGAAAATGATTTTCACAACTTTCTTGTTTAGTTTTTTGACATATTTTCTACTTATAAAAAAAAAGTAAAGAGTAGGTTAGTAAGAAACAAATAAGCTAATTAGAGACATTCCCAATTTATAGAAATGCTGATTTTTTCCGAAACATTTTTTAAAAATGTTTGGGCATATTTTCTGCACATGATAGGTTAATAAGAAACAAAATAAGTAAATAAGAGTCATGAGTGATTTGTAGAAAAGTTTAGTTTCACAACTTTCTTGTTAAATATTTTGACATATTTCCAGCATATAGTATTTAGTGAGTAGTCAGTAAGAAACAAACAAGATAATAAGAAACACGTGTAATTGATAGAAACGTTAAATTTTCTTCAACTTTCTTACTTAATATAATGACATATTTCCCGTATATAGTACTTAGCAAGTAGTCATAAGAGACAAACAAGATAAGAAGAAACACGAGCGATTGATAGAAACGTTGATTTTTCCACAACTTTCTTGTTTAATTTTTTATATATTTCCCGCATTTAGTATTAAGTAAGTAGTCAGTAAGAAACAAACAAGATGATAAGAAACATGAGCAATTTATAGAAGCGTTTTAACTCTAGACAAGGACAGAATAGAGAGTGTTTTTTTAATTTAATTTAATTTAATTTAATTTAATTTAATTTAATTTAATTTAATTTTTTTGCATGTCTATATAAACATTTCTAACCTTTCCAATATTTAATAGCATCAGCTTTACTACAATTATTAAAGAAAAGTTATATCATAGCAAAAAAAAATCACGTATTTGAGATTTTTTTTTTTACTTTGTTTATTTTAGGACTTTTCAATTATGGTCACATGTCTTATGAAGCGGACAGAGATGCAGGGCCTGAGGGAGAACCATCTTTAGCTGAAATGACAAAAAAAGCTATACAAATACTTCAGAAAAATGCGAGAGGATACTTTTTGATGGTAGAAGGTAAGTTATAAATAGTTTTTTTTTTTAATTTTTTGTCCAGCTTAGTTATTGAATTATTCTTGAACTTAGGATTAAACGCTGAAAAAATATTAAAGGTGTAATAAATTAAGCTTATAAATTATCATTGTTTCTCAAGTTCAACAAGAACCATTTTAATTATAAGATTATAGAAATTGCTGTAAATGTATAGCTGTAGCAAAACAATAGATTCCTAGACTATCACGACAGCTGCTTCTTTTGTTCCCCATATGTTTTTTGCCTATATGGTTCTTTGTATTTGATGGTGCAGTTGTCTTGTAATCAAGCCACAGGACAAAAAAATACCTTTAAATACTATGTGTTACGCATTATTGACGATAATCTATTAACTTATTTTCGATTCTAAACTCACCAACTAACGCTTGAAAGGAAGTGTTCGAATGTGCCTGTTAAAAGTGTGTAAAATGAACTGTTTTGATTTTCCTAGCGCATCAAGCTGTAATAGTTTTCGTGGAGGTGGGTTTTCAGATTCCCAACTGTACTCTTTAGGAATAAGGAGCGTAAAAATTAGAAATTTCGAGATGCTAATAGCCACTGCAAAAGATTCTTGACCCCTATTGGGCAAACCCGTTTCATCTTATATTGCTTTTAAAAATCGCTTACAATTTTTTTTATAGAACATAAAAGTGAAACCCTAATATGAGAAATAACATACTGTAGTGAATTTTATTACTAAAATCACTCTCTGATGGCAATGTGCTGTTATCTATATGAAGACTAATCAATAATATTATTATTTTCCATTTAATTGGAGAGAGAGTCATTTTCATCCTATTTATAGTCATCATTTTCATATTTCCTTGTACCATCCGTTTCATTCTATTATTTAAGTAAATTTATGGTTACCGTTACCCGTACGGTACGTATAAGTTAGAATAATAATGAAAAGATTTTTAAAAAAACTTAGTTTGTTTTTATTTCTGTTTGTTCTTTTATCTTCAGGTGGTAGGATAGATCACTCTCATCACTTCAACAATGCCCATAGAGCACTGACAGACACATTGGCGCTGGAAGATGCTGTGATTGTTGCCCTGAATATGACAAAATCTGATGATACTCTTATTGTTGTTACTTCAGACCATTCTCATGTTTTTGCATTTGGTGGAAATCCTAAGCGAGGAAATCCAATTTTAGGTATGACTTAACCATTGATCTATAATTAAAAAAGATACTTTTTGTTTATTCAAAAACAAGCGAATAGTCGCCAAAAAATGTAGAGAAAAAATTTGGCGGAGATCTGCATTTTATTATTTTATTTATTTTTTAACACACATAAAAATTAAACGAAATAAAAAATTAAGAAAATAAACAAACTTTTAAAAAAATTAAACAAATTAAAAAAAGTTTTTAAAAAAATCATTGCATGTTCTGACTCCCGGCTAAACAAAAAGTAACAAAAAAATTCAAATTATCCAAAATGAAATACCGTTTAATGACTAATAAAAGAGTTGAAAAACTAGGTAAATTTCGAAACAATTATTAAAAAATGCTAAAATAACTCATCATAGCCAAAAATCATACATTTTTCAATTATTACGTACTACAGATTCGATTAATTTTTTAAAAAAAATATTTTATTTATTTCTTTTGTTATGATTTAAATTTACATTTTCAAACAACATATTTTTTTGAAAAAAAATCTTTTAAGTAAATTTGTTATTTCGTTTCCTTTCATGGAAAATTTATTTTCCAGCGAAAATACATAGATTGTTTATAATGAGAAGTACAAGAATTTCTTGAGAAGTGGTTTACCTCTCCGCAAGAAATTCCTGTCTAATCGAGAAATTATAATCAAAAAAATAACTCATTTACTACTGAAAATGTTACAGTTGTAATTATAGTTACGTACTTCAGATTAGATTTTTTTTTAAATGAATTTGTTTTTTTCTCTATCGTTTTGATTCAAATTTAACAATTAATGCCACAGTTTTTCTTAAAATCACTTTTTAAGTAAATATGTTGTTTTGTTTCCTTTTATGCGAGCCTCCAAACAAGATTAAGAACTATTTTCTGGAGATAGGTAGATTGTTTATTAAGTGAAGTACAAAAATTTTCAGAGTAATGGGTTACCTTGTTTATTGGTGCTTCGCAAAAAACTACAATTGAAAGTCTTACATATACAAATTTGAACAAATGATAAATAATTCGAGAGCAATTTTACTTAAAGCATTGTAACTAGAGGCTGGATTTTAAAGACTCTACGAAAGATTCCTTAAAAATCATAACATTTTACCCTAAAAATAAAAACCCACTCACAAACTCTGTGAATTATTTCTGTTTTTTTTATCCGTGCCAATAGCACATTTCTCTTATAGACCCATTTCATGTTTCACTTATGACCCAAAATAAGTATTTGGATTTATCTGGGTTTTCTTTTCACGTCATCTTTTCTTCTGGAAACTGTTATGCATTAAATAAAACTATAAAAACTGGGGTACTTTTCCGTTAGCCAGGCGCAAATGTCGCCAATCCTGAATCAAGCGCCAAGAGAAGCGAATGACAAAACATTTAACGGAATAAAAGTCAAAAACGTTAAACTATAAACAAATATTTATTAATAGTAAGCAAAACAAGTTCAACTATAAACAAATATTAATGAATGAAGGAAAGGAAAAATTGTTTTGTTTTGAATGAATTCAGAGAATAAAAGCACGTGGTCCCAAACTAACATTCACCTTATCATTGTAAGAAATTTGGCAGAATTCCACATTCTTTGGCGATTTTTCACTCGCGCCAGGTTAACGGAAAAGTACCAAAACTTGTTAATCAATTGAAATGTGGGAAATTTGCAAGAATGGGTGTATTTCTGGAAATTTTAAAAAACATCAGAAAATTTGAAAAATGTACCCACATTTTTAAAAAAAAGACATAGAGAGAAAATATTTCTCTCAAAATTTCTGAAAAACTCCCCTAAAAAAATAAAAATACTGTGCTGATAAAGCAAATGATTCAGAATGCAAAATAGTCAATATCATCAATATAGGGCCTTAATTAAAATCAATGACCAATGACAGCAGTAGACATAGAGTAGTAGGAAAAATAAAGAGAAATATATAAAAAAAAATTGTAAGCTCTACTTTCCTCTGGATTTCTAAAAAATGTCACAAATTAAAATAAGTACCCAAACATTAAAAAAAAACTTTGAAGAAAAGAAATATCACGTAATCTATAACAAAAAATCTACCCATATTTTTACAAAAAATTCTTATAGAGCAAAGATAGCTCTCAAAATTCCCTAAAAATATGAAAAAAATTGTCTTATAAAAGGAAATGATCAAAAATGCAAAACAGTCAATATCAACAATATAGGGCCTTAATTAAAATCAATCACAACAATAGACATACAGTTGTAGAATAGAGTTAATGGGGGATAAAGGGTGAAAATATTAAAAATAATAGTTAGCACTACTTTCATCTGAATTTCTAAAAAATGCCACAAAATAAAATAAGTACCAAAACATTAAAAGAAAGCCTTGAAGGTAAAAAATATCCCATCATCTATAACAAAAAATGCACCCTTATTTTTCCAAAAAATTTCTTATAGAGAAAAGATAGCTCTCAAAATTTCCTAAAAAATTCCCTAAGAAACTGAAAAAATTTTCTTGTAAAAGGAAATGATGAAAAATGCAAAATAGTCAATATCATCCAACAAAGCGCCTTAATTAAAATCAATCACAACAATAGACATACAGTTGTAGAATAAAGTTAATGGGGAAAAAGAGTAAAATATGAAAGAAATAATAGCTAGCACTACTTCCATCTGAATTTCTAAAAAAGTGCCAAAAATTAAAATAAGTACCAAAATATTAAAAAAAAGCCTTAAAGGGAAAAAAATATCTTATAATCTATAACAAAAAATACCTTAAAAATCTAAAAAAATGTCATAAGTAAAACAAATGATTCCAAAAAATGTAAAAAAAAAAGTAAATATGATCAGAATACGGGCCTTAATTACAATCAAACATAACAGCAGACGTACAGAATACACAGTTAATGTAAAATCAAATATTAAAGTAAACTAATAAAATAAATAAATAAATAATAGTTAGGACTACTTTCATTTAAGTAAGTTTTCGTCTATCCTTATCGTTTTTTCACCCTTAAAAATTGCCCTCTGTTTCCTTTAAATAAATTGCATCATAAAAAAGTGTTGAAACACCATTTTCTATCTTGAACTTTCATTTTGTTTATTACAACTCTATTTCCCCTTTCTGTTGTATTTCATTGTGTTATATTGTTTCCTTTTTTCCCGAAAGACAGTAATACCTTTTATTGGGAAGCTGTTTGTACGGGTGCTGGAAAATATAAATTCAGATATATTTTATTGCCGGACTTTGAAAAGAAAGTTTATTTGAAAATAAATTTTTCTATATAAGCGATAGTACAATGCTTGAAATACATTGTACAAAAATGATTTAAAGCGTGTCTATATTTGTATTACATTCGCATTATATATCCATTAAGCTGTGTTAGAAGAAACAAGTTTCTGAATTAGTTTTGCTAAAACGTCTATATATATTTGTGAATATAAGTGTTAGGACTAAGGACCTTGATGCATAGGGATGAAAAAAAGGGAATACTCCGAATAACTTTTGCTCTAATGATTGAATTTTCACGCATTTATACTCAGTTTTAATAAATCTCGGAGGTAATTTTAAATATGCAAATTAATTTATGCATGCGATAGCGTGACTTTAATTAAAAGTCAGTCATAGATACAAACTTTCTTTGAATAATCGTACAATTTTTTTACGATAGTTTAGTATTCTTAACTCTCAAAATATCGAAGGAATAGTGTAGTACAAAATGGTTAAAAGGTTAATCTCTCGAATGCTAATTTTATGTTTCGTGTACTTCTTTAATTCGAAAAAGTCGTATTATAAAAAATTTTGATTTCTCAAGAACTATTCAACCGATTCTTTTCAAATTTTTGATTTTTGTAATTTAAAATTACGCAGATTAAAGTTTTGTATAGCTTTGTGCGCCTTATAATTAAAATTTTTCTCATTAGTAATATAAATTATAAGAATAATAAATATTATGCCAAAACAATTTATATTTTTTCACGAAATTACTTTTGAATTAACAAATTTTATATTTGTATGGAAAAATGTTTTACTCTCCTTATTAGTATTACGGGCACATTGCAAAAACCGTAAAAAGTAAAATTAACATCAAGGAGCGAAACTTCAGGCCACTCTCATGCCTAAATTATTAGGCCCATATTTTAAAGATTGCAGCCACTGTTTTGAGTGTTTAATCAGAGAAACTACGGCATGTGCCGGATTTCTTAACTTATATTGTAATCTGCTTTAATTAATTACATAGTTAAGGTTAGGTCTTCAAATAATTAAGAACGAGTCTTAGTACGTTAAAATCTTAAAAGAAACTCAGAATTTATGAAACTAAAGCTTAAAATAGTTTTTCTTCGTCTACAAAGTCTTACAATATTAGAAATAAAAAATTAGAAATAAAAAATTATTAATAAAAATATGAAGAATTAAGATTGATTTAAAATTAAAGGCGTTGTTAATACAGTTGATTAACTTGTTTGACTCTGGATGAATACGAGTTCAATCGATTAATCGATAGTAGTAGAGTTGAATTGTAAATTTCTAGAAAATCGATTTTATAGAAATTTGCAATGCATTTAAAATTAACTTTTTGTTGTTAAAATTTCTTTTTTTAAGGATTGGACAGCAAGTTATCAGATGTCGATAACATGCCTTACACAACACTCCTGTATGCCAACGGACCAGGATATAAAAGAGATTCCGAAACTGGAAGAGAAAATTTAACTGGAACTAACACAGGTAAACAGAACAGTTGCATACAGGTATGCAAGTTGTTGTACAAGTACACAAGAGTTTGAAAAAATTAAAATAACAGTAAAGTAATAAGTAGGGCAGAATATTGTGGTAATGAAACATCAAGTGATAGTCTGGAACAGTGAGGTAATAGTAAAGGTAAATACTAGTGTAAAAAATGTGGTCACATTAATAAGCAAAATAAGCTTTCGCTACTCGCCACGTGACGAGTCAGCAAAAAGAAGTGGCGACTGAAATTAAAACAGCGGGTCACTTTTTCCATATTTTTCTCTTTCTCTCTCTCTCTTTTTTTGAGAATTGTTTAATGATAAAAGTACATTAATTAATGTAGAAAGACTCTGGAAAGCAGTATTTTCATTAAAATGTCAAATATCCCCAAATCAAAATTCTTGATGGTCAACCATCAAAAAATTTTGATGGTTTCAGTGTGATTCAGGAAAGTCCAGCATCATTTGATGGTCACCATCTTCCAGCATTTTCAGTTACGTGTTCATGGTTTTTGATATGACAACAAACTTACATCATTCCATCATAGAAATTATATTTTAATATTATGATGGCTAACCATCACGAGAAGTTTGATTCTCATGAACCAACAATTCACGATGATCCATGAAGGTTCATGATGGTTCCAACTATACATTTCCTTCATGGTTTAATGGGAGTTCTTGCTGATTCTCAGCAATATACCCTCAAAACAATTTGGGTTTTTTAACGTTAGATCACCATAAACCAGTCCATATTCCTACATTGAGATGATGGTTGCTTATGTTGATTACCATCAAGATGATGTTGGTCAATCAGCGATTCAAAATGTTGATCCTTCAAAATCCATCAATTTGTGATGGAAGTATTCATGTGGAAAGGGAGTTATCTAGCATTTCCCATATATCAAAGTTGTAATGCATACATTAAATGTATTTTGCTTCCTCAATTTTTTTTTACCTAAAAGTCTTTAAAATCAGTGTGGTTAACTAAATTTTGAGCCATGTTTATATTATTTTTATTATTTAATTAACTTTTTTATATTCGTAGATTATTTCTGATGTGAATGTTTTTAAAAAATTTAAAAATATATTTTAATCCGAGCAACAAAAAAAAAGGTTTACAAAAAATGGCCATTAAATTAAAAGAACCTATCGATACCGGTAACCAACTCACTAAATTTGAGCTAAAAGTGTCTACTAAGTTATTAGAGTTTACCACCCACTGGCTACTGACTGAAAAATTTAATTTTCAAGTCTAGGTCATAGTATTTAATATTTTAAAATTGTGTGGTAGTACTAAATATTCATAATAATGTAAAATAGTGCTACAATGATGCAAGAATATAATCGAATGTATTAATCGTTCTGTAATACAATATAATGATGTTGATTAGTATGATAGTAGTACTGGTAATAGTGCAGAATAGCGCAATAATAGTGCAAGTTTATAATAGAGCAAACTAATGTGATATTAGTATAGGTATATCAAAGTGTATAATAGAGTGGTATATCTATAACACAGTAGCAGTATACTCATAAAGTAGATTGATATTTCTTTATTCGATTCAGAACAAAAATTAAAAGTAGAAACGTCTTTCATATCTGCTGTTCCATACCCATTTTAATGTAAGTGTGGACTTAAAATAAAATAAGGATTCTCGTATTTTTGATAATAAATTATGCTACATATACAGCATATAAATTATGCAAATTTTGAAATCTAATTTTACTACATTCCCTTTATAAAATAGGAATGATGAATTTTCTTATACTTCCATATCAGAGGTAGTGAAAAGTCAGAAGTAAAGAAATCTGCGTTATTTTTCTTGAAATTTATAGTGTTTTTGTTTTTTAAAAAACATTTTCATACGTAACAATTCTCAATAGATAAAAACAGCGTGGATAATCATAGCTTATTATTTCTAATTGAGGAAAAGTAGCTATTATAAAATCTAGTCGTACTAATTTTTATTTTTTTTAAATAAAACTTTAAAACTTCTTAGCCTTCCTAATTCTTCTTAAAGAAAAACAGTTTCCATATTCTATGAATAAATCAGCTTTGAAAAATTTCCTTAATGTAAAATATCTTTAATTTTTCTAAGAGCCTAAATAGAATATATTCTATTTAATAGAATACTTAATAGAACATATAATAGAATATATAATAGAATTATTTCTAATTGAGGAAAAGTAGGTTTTTTAAAATTCAGTCTTATTTTTTTAATTAAAATAAAACTTTAAAACATTTTACCTTCATAATTCTTTTCAAAGAAAAACAGCTTCCATATCCTATAATAAATCAGCTTTAAGATCTTATCCTTAAAGTAAAATAGCTTCCATATTCTATAATAAATCAGCTTTAAAAAATTTCCTTAAAGTAAAATATCTTTAATTTTTCTAAGAGCCTTAATAGAATATATTCCATTTAATAGAATACTTAGTAGAAAATATAGTAGAATATATAATAGAATTATTTCTAATTGAGGAAAAGTAGCTTTCATAAAATTTAGTCTTATTTTTTTATTAAAAATAAAACTTTAAAACATTTTAGCCTTCCTAATTCTTTTTAAAGAAAAATAGCTTCCATATTCCATAATAAATCAGCTTTATGATTTTTCCTTGAAGTAAAATAGCTTTAATTTTTTAAGAGCCTTAATAGCTTAATATGCTTATAAATAATTGCAAATAAAACAGTCATTGGAGTATCTTTTCAGAGGAGATGAACTACGTGCAGCAAAGTGCAGTACCACGTCGATGGGACACTCATGGAGGTGAAGATGTACCAGTCTACGCTCACGGTCCCATGTCTCACCTATTTCGAGGAGTTTTGGAGCAAACATACGTACCTCACGCTATGGCTTACGCTGCTTGCATTGGACCTCAAAGAAATGATTGCGAACGTCGTCGAAGACAGGCTTTCCAACGACAAGTCATTGAGTGTCCTTCAGCACACATTGACGACGCTGAGCAAGTAATAATGGCTAATTCCGTAAATTACGTCACCTTCAGCGTTTGGATGATTTGCTCAATTATGTTGCTCCAATTATTTCTAACGTGACCTGTGTCTCAATGACATTTGAAGGTTACTTGAACCTTGGCAAAAGACAGTTGTCTCTACTCACACTTCCAATATCATAATGAAATGAACTGTGTTGGTTCGGCTCAAAATGTTTAATTTATAGTGTTTTTTTTTCTTTCTTCTTCTTCATAACTGCTCACTATCAGTTTAGAATTGCTAAAATTGTATGCAATACATCAATTTCAGTGTTTGGATCATTTGCTCAATTATGTTAGTTGAAATATATGTGGCCTATCTTTACTGTCAATGACATTTGAAGGTCACTTGGAAATTAACAAAAAATTGTGTTTGCACTTACTCTTAATATCATACTAAAACTGCTTGAATTCAGTGTTTATTTCCTGAAATTTTCTGAGGGGATTCAAATTCTATACTATTAGTAAATTTTCGTTTTTTTTTCTTCTTCATTTTTCTCAATTATCAAATTTCCATAATTTTTTCAATGACCAGTTTTTCAATGATAATTGAAGGTTACTTGAACTTTTCTAAAAGTTTTTAATACAATAATGAAGTGAACTACATTGGTTCCGCTAAAATTTTCAATACAGTAATGAAACGAACTTTATTGGTTCCGCTAAAAACTTTCAATACAATAATGAAGCGAACTACATTAGTTCCAGTAAAAATTTTCAATACAATAATAAAGCGAACTACATTGGTTCCGCTAAAATTTTTCATTACAATAATGAAGCGAACTACAATGGTTCCTCTCAACTTATTCTATTTTTTGTGTTTATCCCCTTTAATTTCCAAACACTGCTCATTACTAAGGACTTAGAACTGTACATATATGTGTAAGGACCAGTCTACTGTTGTTTGTGCCCATTATGAGAATAGAAAAATTTTAAATCTTTAATTTTTTTAATTTAAAATTACGAAGAATTTGATATAAATTCGAGTTCTGTAGATTTTTTTAAAAGTTTAAGAATTCGAAATCTTCCGCCAGCAATTATAGTGACGAATGTCTCAGAATTTTTTATAAATAGAGATTGCCTTACAATGTGATGTAAATGTGATGGTTACTTAAATTTTAGCAAATGTAATGACTGCGCGAACAGTTTACAATGATAATTATGATTTTTTTTATCTAGCTGTATAAGCTACTTCTATTTCGAATGCCTATTGTTAATACATATCGATAAACTAGAAAACATCTCAAATATGAATAAAAATAACTTATACTTATTTAAAAGTGAATAAGCATTGTATTCTTTTACCATATCCATCAAAACTCGTGTTTTTCATGTTCCCAAATCTAAAAAGTTGCTGATTTACCCACAATGCAAATCCGCTGTTTTATTAGTTTCAGTGGCAACGTGGGCAACCCCTGAAGTAAAGTATCTTATTAAAAAAACACAAAAACCGTGTTTTATCTATTATATTTATTGTTTCCGACCAAATCCTTTTTTCACCGAATTTGGAGACAGATTGCATTTACTGAATGCCTCATGTAACATCTCTTTGCGGATTTAATTTTTGTCGATTGATCTAGTTAATTTGTGAATCTTGTTGATGTTGTAATAATTTTTAAAAAGGCAAACGGGTGGTATTCACTGAATGCCACCTGTTACATCATTTTACAGATTGAATTTTTATCTATTGAACTACATAATTTCTGAATCGGCCACTACATTTTTCTTAATGTTGTAAAAATTTTTAAAATAGGAAATGGGTGGTATTCACTGAGTACCACCTGCTACATCACTTTACAGATGGAATTATTGTCTAATAATCTAGATAATTTCTGAATCAGCCGCTATGTATTTGCTTACGTTGTAATATTTTTTCAATTAGCAAACAGGTTGTATTCATTGAGTGCCACCTGTTACATCACTTTAAAGCTTCAGTCTTTGTCTAATGATCTAAATAATTGGTAAATCTATGTTTGTTGATTCTGTAAAAGTTTTTATACTCCGGTGTCATACCAGCGACCCGTCATGTCTTAACCTCACATCTCACCTAGCCAAAACGCTGAATTAATATAACTAAACAATCTAAAACTAGACATTTTTCTGAGTTAGGAAAGTGGTGATATTTACTGAAATCCAAATCTAGGCTATCAAGTGAGTGTGTGGTAATATTCTATTGAAACTGCTGCAGTAGAGAAATGGTCAATCGGCTATCATCACTTTCTCAAGTAATTGGATAGGATTTGCTAGCACATGGTCATGCAAAAGCTCTCATAATGTTTGCAAAAACAAATCGGCTTATACACAGACTGACTATTAATATATTTCGTAAGTTATATACTCAGCAGAAAAATAGACAAATGTTTAACTTTTAAATTAACGTAAAAACTACATAAAATTATTGGTGTTTTTTTCATTTAAAAAAAGGGATTGTACACGTAAATAAGTTAAATGAACAGTGAAAGTATATTAGTTACAAGAAAAAGTTTTGCGTCAAATCCAATTATATATTTTATACCAAATAGCTTTTACCGATTAAGGATTGCAGTACTTAATATCTTTTATTTTCTTTTTTAGTTATAATTTTTGCATATTTTTTCGGAAAACAGAATAAAGAAAAAAATTAGCTATGCACGGTTATTATTAATGCAATGCACAAAATAAGATCTACCCAAGAAATGAAACTTTTCACTATCAAAATTATTACATGAATTTGATTACAGGGAGATCTTTAAACACTACTATGACTATATAATTTTAAAATAACTGACAAAATATTTAATTTATAACCCACTCAGTTATATTTAGAAATAAATTTAATATTTATTTACGAAAAGTAATAAGTTATTATCATTGAGCCTTTAGATGAGTAATAATTAAAGAAACGAGTAATAAACAAAGAATTTACTGCTTGAGTTTTCGTTCTAAAATTATGGCAAATAACCGACAGCAGGTTTGTCCATCCAAATCATCATTAAAATTAAGCTAAAGAACTATTTTTTACCTTTACGGATTACGGTTTTGAAAAAGTTTACAACTGGTATGGTTGAAAACCGTGAATTCACGGTTTTTCAACCATTTAAATTTAGTATAGTTTTGAAACCGAAAAAATTCAACTGAAGAATGGAAGTAGTTTAACAGCGTTATGTTGCTGTCATCTTTGCATGAATGAGAGTATCGTATTCTTTTAGCAAAGGCTCCTCAAATTGGGGAGTGAGGAACACTGGAAACTCTTTATGTGTTAAAAGAAATATTGTGATGTCCACGCTGGGACTCAATCCCGGTTCTGTTGTAAAGATATTGACAGATTATCCCTGTCGGCTGTAATACGTATACGGTTGGAACTCAGTGTTCATCTGGTAAGCCTAATTGGTGTGGATAAAATTTCGGTGGTTTAACCATATTAGATGAAAGCAATTAGTGAGCTGTTTTTCTATCAGTCAACAGCTTAAATAACATTTTATTTGTGGTTATTTGACTATTTCACGCTAATATGGTAAAATAACAGTTAAATAAAAAAATTTTAAACTATTTTTTTCTGAGAATTTTTTAACAGTGTATGATAACGAGAATATGAGAAGGGTGATATCGACGTACAAAAGAACAAAAAATATTTTCTATGTTCTAAATAATAATACGATTTAAGATCAAAAAGAGCAAAGTTTGAATTAATATTTTTAAAAACTAAATTATTTTTGGTTGAGAGAAACGAGTACTACTGAATTCTGTTTTCTGTAAAAATCGTAAATTAGATTCTTCTTCAAATTATCAGGTTCAAAATTGTTTCAAACCTTTCTTAAACTGATACTAATTCCCACAGTAAGAGTTTGAAAAGCATTTTCTCACTTAAATGCCACTTTTCAACTCTTTTTATGAAAGTGTTTTTTTTTTTTTTAAATTTTTACAACACTATCAAAATCATTTATTAAGGGTGGTCATTACAGAATTCCATGTGTAAGGGTTGTGAAATTTAGACGTTATCTGATGTAAATTACATTATGAAATTTAAGTTACAGTTTCATATCATATCAATAATAGCAGATAATGCAAGTATGCGAATGGTGGGCAATACGGAGAAAAAAAACATGGTGAAATTACGGTACATCATGGTAATCACACTTCTGATAATAAAAAAAAAACATAATTCTGATTGACAAAAAACAAACTATATGATATTTACACCATTCATTTGGTAATTTTTCCGTTGATAAGGTAACATTTTACTGGAAATTCTAATTTCCAAAATTATTGCTCTTATTACCACACATTTAGTAAAAAATATAAAACGGAAAAGCAAATGAAACCGAAAAAATATTTTTTATGCCATGCTTTAAGGTTTCATGCTAAAATTACCATATTTTATCGCATTTACTAATGGTAATTGCTTAATATAATACCATATTTCAATGCAAATTTTATCAAAATCATTATCAAAGCGCTTCGGTAAAACTTACCGAGCTTTCTGGTGTTTCCATGGAGCCAGAAACTTAATAAATTTACCATATTCCGATAGTTATTATCATATTTTTTTTCTCAGAGTGGGTCTTTGTGAATTTTGTTTCTTGCACAGATTTCTGATTTTCACATTTACGACGATTCATTTGAAGAATTGTATGATACAATGTATATTTTGTGTTTCGTGATGTGTAAATAAATGGTAAAATAAAATTTTCTTGTATACGTTTTCTGTTTATCATTCCACTTGTAAATAAAATTTGTCTTATATCTTTAGTTTTTCATCATTACATATCTTCCAACAAAATTTTCCGTAATGAATAATTTCAAAAACCTTTTCACAAAAAGGTGACAAATTGGTTGCTGTCGTGTTGTTGTTTTTTAAGCCACTTGCCCAATACCAGCAAGCCTGCTTGGGAATCAAGCAAACTTTTAAGGCAGAGGGTGTGTTTCTTGTTTTTTCAGTGGCGCCATGTATGGCCAAGAATACACATTCAGTCGCATACAGGTCCCAGTCCGTTTAAAAGAGAGGACCCAATGATACTTCATTCATTCATCCACAAATCGTAATTTTGAATTGAACCAGAGTACTATGAATCTCTAATTCAGTACCCCAGAGGTATTGATTGATTATGGCAACATGGAGGACTTAGTCACCCTCTCCGACCGATTTAACGTGCCCCATTCCACTCGGTAATTCTTAAGCCGACAGGATTCGAACTCACGTTCTCACGAACCCTAGCCCAACGTCCTACCAACCAAATTATCCTGGTATGCACATTAGATGAGGGTTTCAAATAAATATTGCAATGCGAAAGGAACAGCCACCTTATCGATATTTAACAATCCATGATAGAAGCAAGGAAGTGTACTAGACCCCAAAGTTCGTTCGATTGTCGGAGGAAACGGAAGACAATTAAAAGAACACCCATAAGAAATCAATAAATGTTTCAACAGGCAATGAAAAATGGCTTCCATGCTCGATATTTCTACATTATGATTTGTCAGATTTCTGAAAGTGTTTTTGTGTGGATGGAGTTTTCTGTAGAAATGTAAACAATAACAATCTCGAGCTGTATGCCTGCTCTAGTTCCGGTTAGAAAGTCTGCAACTGCTTACTACATGTTATTCTGCGAGGCGATATTTCCAAACGGATAATTTTTTTTTTCAATAAAAGAAATAAATTAGATAATTTCTGAGCTCAAATCTGCCGTATTTCATAAGATATTAATGTTATTATGTTATATTATGTTATAATTCCGTGGAGTTTGAAGTGAAAATTTGTTTTAGTTATTTGAAGATATATTATTAAAAAAGGTGACATGGTTGCTAGATTTTGAATAACCTGATATAGCCTCCTGATATAGCCTCTTTCCATAAGTTTATCACTGTTTGTTCTTGTTGCAAGCTGTGCACCATCTTACGTTAGTGTTCACACTTTTAGCATTGTAATCAAAGTATTGTTAGCATTGTAAACACAAGTAATAAGTAATCAAATACATTGTTTGCAAGAATCTCAAAACACAATGATGCCAAATGGCTTTAAAATACAACGGAAACAGTAACCCGGAAACACGCTTCACACATTTATTGCTTTAATGT